TAGAAGCGCAATGCTTATCCCTGTAATTTTACCGCGCTATGGACTGAGTGTCTCTGCAATTTGAATCCCTTCATTGTTGATTTCAGATGTATAAGCCGATTGTAACTGACATAACAGAATGAACAGATGCACTGCGATAGCATTCATTTGAAGGGGTTGGACTGATATCACCTTGTAAAGGTTTATTATTTGAGTGCCTTGTGTTGTTGGTGAGTCATGTAAAAGCAGTTTCTATTTTCTTTTGCGACTTCAGCAGTAACACAAATCCAGTTTCTTTTAAAATTAGTAAAACTCATGCTACTGTGGCTCAAAGTTTTGGCTGTCACACAGAATTTGATTTTCATGCACTTTGCAGCTTCTGCTGTTGCTGGGGGAAGAAAGGTGCTTTTAGGGACTTTCAGTGGTCTAACAGTCTTAAGGTAAATAATGTCAATACCTGCTCATTTTTACCAAGTTTCAGTGTTTGCTGTACAACCCAGTGAACTAGGTGATGTTGTTTTCAAGCCTTGATTATACTCTAGGCTGGAGCCATGATGAGAGTAGTCATTGCTGTCATACTACTTTAAATTCTCCTGCTTGGGACCCATTCATAGTTGATGCGTTGTAATATAAATGCTCCACGGACCAGTCTGCACAGTCACAGTAAACGATCAGATGTGGATGCCACGTGGACCCTTGCTTTCACTGATAAATGACAAAATATATGTCACTCGGACCCAAGTGGATCCTAGCAGATTCAGGGACGCGGAAAGTGTAAGCAAGGCTTTAAAGCTGGGCAGTCTGTACCCTTGTTAAACAACTGATTAATGTGTAGTTTAAGGTAGTGCTGTTCACTAAAAACAAACTGCAGCGCTGCTGCTGCTAGCGAGAGAAAGAAAGGGAAACACCAGGGAGCTTATTTCTGCCCTTCCACCATGAGCGGAAAAATACTGAATTATCTCAGAGAGCCTCATTCACATAAATGGAAGGATATCATTGGAACCACTAAAAGCACTTATTTTTCCAGCACTGTTGGTCCCACATGACCTCATAAGTATAGGAGCCAGCCATATGAACTACATGGCTCAGTGTAATGCATTCTTTCAGGACGATTTCTTCTGTAACTAACTTTGAACATCAGTTACATTGGATAGATTATGATTTTAATAGGAAAATTGTGACACTTATTTTCTACTAATGCTTGTTTCATGGAAATGTATCTGGAATACGTGACTGTTTAAAAAGGTGATAACATTTAAAACTCTCCTTTTTGCCTTATTTTGATCCCGAACTCATCTTATTAAAATGTTTCCAGTATAGTCATAGCCCATAGTTTGCATGGTAAGAAGGTCACACTTGACTTCTTTACTAAAGCGGTAATTGTACAAAAAGTATGGGCTCAGTTTGCAACGTTTAACTGACTGTTATTTATTAAGTCATTCATTTCTGTAGACACATCTGAGTTTTGCAGTGATGCACACATGCTCAGTGAAACAAAAAGTTAAAGAAGCGATACCTGGAATCTTTGTCAGCACACCGTTATCTAAACGTGTAATTTTAGTCAGCCCATCAGACAGAAACACCCTCTTTCTGTTTTCTTTCATTTTATGATGATCGATCAGTGTAGCCGCTTACCAGACACATTAATTTCAGTTACAAGCAGACAAGCCAACATTTAACTAGCGATTAAATTAAATGACTCTAAAGATGGTGTTAATATTGATTTCGTGCATTACCGTCCTTGATTGTCAAGTTTCTAGCGATCACTCTGACCATCAGCACAACACTACATGTGTCACCTTTCTGCTGTTTGACCGTGTGGTCATGACAGTGTTTCTCAACCACTGTGCCATCGTGACAAATGATCAGGTGTGTCGTGGAAGATTATCTAGTTTCACCTGATTGGTATTCTAAGTGACCGACGTGAGTAACAGGCAGAACAATTACATTCTTTTCCACTAGAGGGCAGTACAACATCTTGCTCCAATTAAATGGGTTGCCAACTGCCAGTAAAACAGAAGAAGACGAAGAAGGAATTACATAGTCATGAGACAGCGCAGCGCATAATAGCAATAAATTAATATTTGAAAAGAAAAAGTAGTCAGGTTGACCTGGGTCATGGAGAAACTTCCGACCCAGATGACGGCCCTAGCGTGAGTAGTGGTTAAAAGAAAGCAAAAATGGTATATTGGGGACAAACGGAGCCAATTCTGCTATGCCTGGTGTGTGGGGAAAAATGATCAATATGCGCTTTTGTGACATTTTTGTTTGGTGGTGTGCTGTGATTTTTTTTTCTAATGCGAAATATGTGCTGTGGCTCCAAAAGGTTGGGAAACACTAAGTTATGGTGACTCTGATTTAGCATTTCCGCGTTGCCAGTTCAAAGGTGGATCGAGCTAAGTATTGAATGCAAATGTGCTGTGTGGTGCTTAATATTGCTCTGAATACAGTCAAAAATAAGAATTAGACTTGGAGATGCTGATTTAGTTGTGGCTTTTTGTCTGTAGGGGGGGGGGAAGCATCATTGGGTAACAGACATGAACCGACAACGTCAGGTACCCAACAGAAAAATGGACAGACTCAATAAACATCAGTGTGTATACTTGAGCCATCCTCTTTAAGTGCATCGTGGTGTGGTGCTGCGGTGTGTTGTGTGTAAAGCCACGCTTGGCTGGCTGTTATCTACCTTGCAGGTCCCTGGAGGGACACCAGAGGAGTCATCTGATTCACTTTCAGCCTCGTCTTTGACTGCAAATTAAAACGGGACCAACACAGACAGACACAGATAGAAAGGAGTGCAGCTTTTTTTCTTTTTTCTTTCTTTTTTTTTAATTAAATCTCTTCTGATTCTACCTAATCCCCACCAAACCGATACTTGTCTAACATAGAAAATGAACACATGAACAATTTCAGTCTCTCTTTTCACCTGCATTAACATGCACCAGCTGCAGCCTTTCACCCGACAGTGGAAGCGTCTCTCCCGTCAGAAGCCCTCTCGCTCTTTGTCTCTCCTCAGTTAAGGTCTGTTTATGAAACACAGACGATTGGCTCTGATTTGATTTGGCGTTCAGCAGCCCTGATAATTATGATGAATCTTCCCCCTGCTGTACGCGTGTGCATGTGTGCGAGTAGACGCTCTTCACCTCAGTTACTTGCGGGCGCTGCTGCTTTTCAGTGCCACTGAGATCTGAGACCTGCGATACAAGAGCTTTAAAAATATTGATTGGCATTAATTTGCCTGGAGCACCAGATGTGTAAGATTTAGTGCATCAGGGCACTTCAGATAGTGACAACCCGTCAATCTCAATGATAGTTTGCAGGTATTATATTTTTCTACATATTGAGTTTTTCAGTGTAACAAATGCACCCATCTGGTGGTTTTTGAACTTTAAAAATCATGTGTGATGTTGTAGTGTCTTTAGCTAATTATATACAGCTTGTCTAATGTGGAAACTTCATATATGGCTTTTGCCAGATGCTACAAGCTTCATACTAAAGAAACATATCTTGATATGACAATCATAAAATTCTCCTATTTCATTATATAATCAAATAGTGATATGAATATATAGTGAGTGGAACTTGCGTTGATGGTATAATTTGGAAATGCTAGCACTAACAAAAAGATAGGAGGTTAAAATTTAGAGAGGCAAGGTTGAGAAGGTTTGGACATCTGGATAGGAGGGGTGGTGAAGATGTTGAACACAGAATTTTGAATATGGCGCTGCCAGGCAGGAGGGAAAGAGGAAGATCTTAGGGGATGTGAAGAAAAGAAGACATGCAGAGGGTTGATGTGACAGAAGAATGCTAGGGATAGCATGAGACGGAGGCAGATGATCCACTGTGGTGACACCGGCGTAAAGCAAGCAGCTGAAAAAAGACGATCTAGGAGATCAGACAGAATGGCAGGGGTCTCGCTCCCACTTGTTCAGAATGGAACCCCTTATGTTTCTAGAGAAAGCATGTGGCTTTCTTCATAGTCTGTGGAAATGCTGCTGTTGTGGTGGGAATGGCGATCTAAGAAGAGAGATTTGGCTTAAAGCTTTTCTAGGTGTTTAGAGTCACCTGTGTATCCAAACGCTGTCCCCATGTTTATTTGCCTTTCTATGAAACTCTGCTTTGGCAACAGTGGGAAAGAAAAACTCCCTTTTAACAGTAAGAAACCTGTGTCAGAACCAGGCTCAGGGAGGGGCGGCCATCTCCCATGACCGGTTTGGGTCATGGGAGATGGCTAACATAGCTAACATGATTCAGATTGTCTGAACATTGCAGCTTTTCATTTAATGCAAAAGAAGACAAATGAATCTGTCTTGGAGGCCTGGGTCATAAATTGCCTGTTTCTTCATTAAATTAGTTTAACTGGTGAATTGTTTTAAATTAACAAATTGGATCATACAGATTTATGACACTGGATGCCTAATTAAAAGCAGAATTGGTGGATCTGTTGTGATCCTGCAATTCTGGTAGAAGCTAATTAGATCAGATCATCTTATTGTGCTAAAAGGCCAATGTGCCAATCAGTGAACAAGCCACATGTGTGCCAAACATCAGTATCACTGCATCTCAAATGGAAACCTGGATTTATTTAAAGACCAAACATTTGGAACAATAATATGTCTTTAATCTTTTATTGATATTAGTTGCACATTAATGTTGTTTTATTCAAGAAATGCAGGTTAAATATTCAGTTATATGATTGTTCTACATTCTCAAAACATGTTGTGCTAATCTGGAGCTGTGGAAATGACAAAAAACATGTATTATGTTCAGAAATGTTTAATTATACTTGATACATTTGGTGTTACAAGGTTAATCTTTTGCAAATTCCTATTGAATTGTTTACTTTTTGTTAGAGATGAATGAGATTGCATGCATGTTTCTTGGGGGAATCTAATCTGATCGCCTATGCTTTTGATTACATGAATTAATGGTCCTTCCTGTTTGTGCTTCATTCTTTCTCTTTTTATCCTGCTTTGTTTCTCTTCCTCCTTCACTCTTTCTCTGTCCCCCAACATATCTAGTCTGCAGATGAGATAGAATCAATGGTAAGCTTCATTCTGACCTTCAAAAATTCAGTCTCTTTTGTCCTTTCCATCTATTCCACTGCTTTCTCTCAGTGTTCCCTATTGTGCTCTTGCACAGGCTACAGGTCACTTTAAAACAAAATTGAAATTACCATTTATGTGTTGATTAGAGTCATTCTTAATCATTTCTGTTGAGCTGAAATCCTTGACAGCTGGAAGAGTGAAATATCTCTAAATTGCAGCATCTCATGAATTAAAAAAAAAAAGAAGAAGCAAAAACAACTTTGATTTGATTGAATTCAAAGCAAATCGAACCCCTCCTTTCCCGCTTCCTTCCTTCCTCCTTATTTTTTATTTTTATTTTTTAAACGCACTCACTATTCTAGGCTCTTCATCTCTTCTCAGTTTAATGCTCCTCCAGCCCTTTCATTCAAATATTCACATACCTTCTTCCTACTTTTAACAGTCCCTATTCATTCTTTTATCTCCATTGCTTCCGTTCTTTGTTTCATTACTTTGACCTTGCTTTCTTTATACATATGGCAACATTTTTCTGCTGTATAAATATATAACGTCAGTCACAAAGCACTGGAATAAAATCACATTTTGTTACTATAATGTATCAACAGCAGTTTCTCTATGGCTGTAACAAATAATTGATTTCTTCAGCTAGTTAATTCAATGCTTTTTAAAAGAAAATGCCAATATTGGCCCTCATTTACTGTAATAACTATATGTACATACAAATCTGTGTATGTAATCATCCATACAAAAGTTTCACAGTCAAATCATTGATTCATCAATAATTTATCAATAAATTTGTTTGTACTTAACAAAAGAATAAAATCCTGGCTGTCTTAGGAAATGTACATCTAAGTCTTTGAAATAAATGCTACTACTAATAATAATGATAATAATAATGATAATATGAAGAATAAGGCCATTATCTATAATTTTCTGACATGGCGTAAGACATGCTCAGAATTAATACAAAAAAATTCAATTGCATTTAAAGGAAACAAAATGGAAAGGTGCAGGCTTACAGTTTAAATTTAAACCGATTCCTCATCATTCATTAAAAACATCAAACACTCTTGTCTGAAAGAATAGTTTCAGTTTCTTCAGACTTGGAGTTTCTCCTGCTTCCTTGCCTCATAGGTGCAGGCTTTTTATGCTTCACCAGGAGAGAAATGGGGACAGTATGCAGCTCGCGTAAGCCTGTTTGTTCAGAATGATTCAGATTTTCGAATTTACGCTCAGTAGTAAGTGATAGGCCGGTGCGCACGTTTCCTAAATGCAACAATGATTGTATGCACTTGTTTTTTGCACAGGGTAAGAACGTTTCCGTGCACGTGTTGGTAAAAAGGCCCATCGTCTTTGCAGCTTTTCTTGCATTTCTCTTGTGTCTCATGTCTCTTTTGCAAGCTTTTCCATTTTTCTGTCTGCTCTATGTCTCCAACACAAGTTTTTTTTTTTTTTCTGCTCTCATTTAGTCACTGTGGTGTAGATTTGCATGTGTATGCATGTCTGTCAGCATGCTTGCACTAAATTGGACTTGTTCATGTTTCTTTGTGTGTAACTGCCATCTTGCAGCTTCAAAACTACTTGTAAATAACATGGTTGGATGTAAGATGGTGCTTATGGGAGGGAGTAAAAGAGAATCCATGGGTGAATAAACAGAGGGGTGCAGGTGAAAAGAAATAAAAGATAAAAGTCTGATTTGAGAGCTGTGATTATATATGGCATTTTTTTTTCTTTTTGCTTAATCGATACCTTAAAGCTGGACTTTGCACAGAGAAAGGACAGAGAACTTGTGTGTACCTGTATCACTGATGTTGCAGGGACACATCTGTTTACACTGTCACACTGTGAAGACTCTATTTTCTTGGAGACAAAATCGTGTCCCCATTTTGAGGCTGTTAAATCTTAGATTTAGAAGATATGTTAACTTTTTTTTTACTGTACTAAGTCATATGCTGGTCTGTACTGCATTCATTTGCCAGTGCTGTATTTGTACAGTGGTGTCCAAGAGACTCAGACCAGATCAAGACAAAACAGAGAACATATTCATCCATCCACTTTCTGACACTTATCTAGGGTCGGGGGGCAGCAGTCTATTCATAGTAGCTCAGACCTCCTTTTCCCCAGCTTCCTCCTCCAGGCATTTCAAAGCCATGTCCTAGGCCTGCCCCAGGGCCTCCCCCTGGTAGGATATGCCCAGAACACTTCACTCAGGAGGTGCCCAGCAGGCATCCTAGTCATATATCTGAACTCTCTCACCCCTCCCTCCCCCATTCCCTCTCTAAGGGAGAGCAGAGCTGCCTTTCAGGGGAAGCATTACAATCTCATTCACAGAGTCTGACTCAAGTAAATAAAATGGGAGCCACTGTTCACCCATCACAAGTATGGCTGTGCCCCAAGTTTCCAGCTGAACATGGCTTGCTATACTTTCAAAGTGAGAATAAGAGGCAGAGTGCCCGAAGTTGGATTGTTATTCTAAGCAAGGATTTCTCAGCATCGAATAATGTAGAGGTGAAATGTATCTACTTGAAGCGAACTAATTATCTTATCTTGTTTTGTCCATACAAAAACATAATTGATCACAAGCGCAAGGGAGATATATGTGGGCTGTTTCTTGGCTACAGGAACTGACTCCACAAGAATATATGATGTAATGCATTAATTAGTAAGCTTTCAAAGTATTTTTGGTGTCAAACTGTCCTTCAGTGGGTTAAAACTGTTGCATCCAAGGGACAGCTAGCCAGACTAGGAGTGACCGCTTAATCAACATGTTCATCAAAATTCATTTATGGAAAGATCAAACAACAGACATAGATTTTGCTGAATGAAGGCTGCAAATTTAGAGGACGTGCCTAATCTGGAGTTTGATATCTGCCACAAAGTGACTCCACGGAGTAGATGTAGTACTTCCATGTAGTTTCCATCTTTTGAGAGAGATTCACAATGCAGCAACATAATGAACCCAAGCATACCATACACACCGGTCCTGGTGCTTCTTGACCTTTGCAAGAAATACAGGCACCTGAATCTGACCCCAAAGAAAATTTAGAGTATTTGGACACTGAGGGAGTTCCTCACATTACAAACACTTTTTGCTAGAAGGTCCTGAGTTTTACTCCACCATCTGTCCGAGACTTTTGTGTGGCATGTTCTCCCTGTGGGTTCTCTCCAGGTACTCTAGCTTTCTCCCACTGTCCAAATACATGCATTTACTGGTGTTAGGTTAAATAGTGATTCTAAAATGCCCATAGGTGTAAATATGGCTGTGAATTGTTGTCTGTCTCTCTGTATTAGCCCCAAAGACTTCAAAGAAACCACAAAAAGCCAAAAATTGACAAAACATTTATGACCATGATAAGTGTTGGTAACCTTTTTTTTCATAGCTGTATAAACTACAAGTTAGGTTACTAGTATTTTTATGTTAAATGATAACAACATATCTTTCCATGTCAGTTACATTTTTAAATTTCAATATGATACAACAGCATTAACATAACTTTTTTCTTCTCTCCTCTCCCATTGATCTTAACTTGTGGCAAACCACTGCCTAAAATGTTATAACTATAATCTAAGTAAGTTTATCCTGGATTCCATGTTTTTTTTGTTTGTTTTTTTCATCCACTGTTCTGTTTGCATGCATGTGTATTTTTACTTGCAGGTTCAGCATCTACAGAAGAAAGACTCACAGCTGAAAGCACTGGATGCCTTCTACAAGGAGCAACTGGCACAACTGGAGAAGAGGGTAAAACATTTGCACAATCACACAACTAACACATAAACAGGTTTCGAGCAGCATCATTTTAGGTTTCACCGGCTTTTAAAAAGTCACATGTTATATAGGTGTACAGACATGGGCAGACTTGATGTACACACATACATAAATATGGTCGAGCAACCAGAATTCAGTCAGTTAAGTGACTTTGGTGCATCAACCTGGCAATAAAAGGTGGAGTCGGCCTGCTATTAGTTTTGGACTGGGCCAAGTTGTAATAAAAAGATGATTAACTGTAATAACTCTGCAACACTGTTGTTGCCATAGATGTTAAGGAGGCACTAACACATCCTCCAACCACACACACCCATATTTTGCTCAATTGCGGTTTATTTCACACCTCAAACATTTAGTAAACAATTAAGCAAATACAAGTAATCTGCAGGTAGTAAGAAAATAAACTAACTCTTTTACGCTACGTCCACACCTACACGGGTATTTTTGAAAACGCAGCGTCCACACGTAAACGGCTTTTCGAATCACCGAAAACTGAGATTTTTTTAAAACTCCTTTTTTGCGTTTACGTGTGGACGAAGAATACAGAGTTCGTCACACAACGTCAAAGGTATGTGCCTTTTTCACGTCAGCTGTGCTCCACGTTATTGCTTATATGAGAGGAATTGCAGAATGGCAGATAAACAGTATTTTGTCTCCATCTTCAGGTTTTACACTCTTACATATACGCACGCAGTTACTGTCCCTCCATTTAGAAAGGCAGAGGCGTCACAGTGTGATTATTTTACATGTAGTTGTTTTTTTTCTGTGCAATAATATTCAACATTGCTATCAATACATTTTTCAAAAAAATGCCTCTCTGTGCAAAATGGGTTCAAAAACATAAACTGCTGTGGGATACTGTTTGTCTGTGATTTGAACCGGGGGAACAAATCGTGGCAGGATCAGCCTGATATTATTTGTATCCCGCTGTAACTTTACTGTATGAAGAGCTAACATCTCCAAAATGTCAGGAGTAGTTAGTCATTACAAGAAGTATTTGTGGACTAAAAATCAAGAATGTGGGATACTGTTTGCCCGTGATTTGAAGAGCCCAGCGCTGCTCCCGACGCAGGGAAAACCAATTCTGCAGGGGAGACCTACCTCGGCACTTGTGCAGGTGAAACCAAAGGGAAGATATGCTTCACCATATTTTCTAGTCTTTGGCTTGAAAGGAGGTTGGTTTGGAAACATATTCAGCGATGCTTCATCTCCTGCTTTGCGTTTGTGTGGGCGCCCCATGCTAGCAGTGTCCAAGCGTTGTTTTTGTTTTGTTTTTTTTCCCTTTTCATGCCGAGCCCCCCCTGCAATGGTACTGCGCCCCCCCTAGGGGGCGGACCCCACACTTTGGGAAGGTCTGCTCTAGCGTGAGTGAGCCATTATGAAAATCATGTGCTGAAGCATGAGCACGAAGTGGAAATACACTTTTATGTGGACATATTCAACAATATGATCCGCACGAATGCATATATTTACTCAGCAGCAACATTATGACAGACAGTAAATTGATATAAATGATCTCCCAGGTTTGTGAGCAAACAAATGCATCTACAGTAGATTTAACCTGACTGATACAGCGGAATTCAATGCACAAAAAGTGTGTAGCAGAAGCACTCCACCAGGTGTATCCGTAAATGTGATTCAAAAAAAGGAAACAAATTTGAGCCAGCCTGAGTATCTCCAGAGAGCCCTTACAAGCCCTTGCGTTGCCTTTCATCTTTCGGTCTGACATTTGCCAGGCAGAAGAGGTGGGGTTTCAAGTTAAATCTCGGCCTCACCAGGCACCACACAAAAAGGACCTTTTCGCGGTCTCTCTGGGAGAAGCACTCCTCTGTACTTCAGACTGACAAGACCTTTATAGGACATTATGTGTAAAATCCAAGTATTATGTTCTGTTTACCATGGATAATTCAAGCTTGACGGGGACAGGGTGGTGGCAGTAGACAGAGCCACATGGGACAACTGTAACATTGGAGTGTCATCATTCCCCTGTGGCTGAGTGGACACTTTACAGCCACTCTGTTGCTGTGTTACATTTTCTTTTGTTTATTTGTGATTGCTAATTGAGATTTATTTTCTGTTTTCCAAGTTTGGAATAGGTGGTCCTTTAGTTTTAAAGATTTGTGAGCATTTGTGTGGTTGTATGCATGTGAGTAAAGGTTATGTTTAGTGCGCCATAAGCCACAATAAGCTGATAGAGTCACTGACTTGGGCAATAGACAAGGCAAGTTTATTTACATAGCACAATTCAACAGCAAGGTGATTCAAAGTGCTTTACAGAGACATTAAAAAATAAAAACAAATAAAAAATATGATTTAAAATGGGGGGGGGGCGGAACAGTAGATAAAATCAGTAGTTAAAATGTAAGTTTTGAAATTTAAGCTTAAAAGTAAAACAGTGTGGATTTGGTGCTTTATTCAAATGCAGCTGAGAACAGGTGAGTCTTCAACCTGGAATTTAATAAACTGAGTGTTTCAGCTGATATGAGGCTTTCTGGGAGTTTGTTCCAGATATATGGAGCATAAAAGCTGAATGCAGCTTCTCCATGTCTGGTTCTGACTCTGGGAACTGATTAAAAAAAAAAGAAAGGCTTTTTTCTGCTTGGTTAAATCTGAAGTTAGGGTTTTTTTTTTTTTTTTTTTAAACCAGAAGTCCAATTCTTTCTGGCTAGCCTCTTTGCTGAAGACAAGTAAAAAGGACAAGAAAGAGTTCTTTCTTTCTCTTTCTTTCTTTTTCCCGATTGTGTTCCTGTCTAGTTTAAATAACAGAAGGACAAACGCAAGCAGGCTTAAACCACCACAGCACAAAATCTGTATTCCGTTTACCACGCAGTCAACCTAAATAATCATTTATTACCTTGATGAATAGTCTCTACACATATTTGAATTAGCCACACACAGAGGTCTTGGTGTCAGATGCTTGGCTATTTGTGTTAGTCTCATTAGTAACAGGTTGGGTTTGCAGAGGGAGTAGAAGAGTGGCAGGCTGGCATACGGGTGGCACAAGCTGTGTTTACTGTAGAGCTTAGGATGTTTACAGACAGTCCTCAATGTGTGGGCATGTGCGTCAGGCAAAGGAAGAGGGAGATGTTTTGCATGCATACTGTATATTCAGGTGGATATGTGCAGTATATGTAAATTCACGGGTCGATCTGAAAGCTCAGTATATGTAAATTAACGGGTCTATCTGAAAGCTCAGTGTGTTTGCAGACTACACCAGCAGTCACATAAGAGACTGGTCAAAGTGTTCTCGATGCTTGATGTTCAGTTTTCAGTAGATGTGAATTAAGCGAAGCTTAGCTAGGTTTATGTTAATACATTTATGTACATTTCATATGTGCCGAGAAATTAAAAGAAGGATTTGTTTGTCATTTGCAAATACCGGAGTGGTGTAAGATCAAGCACTCACAATGGTTATGACTGTTAATATCTTTGAACATACTCTGGAAATGGATTTGTCAAATACAAAATGTTTGTCATGTAGCTTAGTCTCAGTTTTCGGTGACAAAGAAAAAAAAATTGCTAAAATATTTACAGTGGGGCAAAAAAGTATTTAGTCAGCCACCGATTGTGCAAGTTCCCCCACCTAAAATGATGACAGAGGTCAGTAATTTGCACCAGAGGTACACTTCAACTGTGAGAGACAGAATGTGAAAAAAAATCCATGAATCCACATGGTAGGATTTGTAAAGAATTTATTCGTAAATCAGGGTGGAAAATAAGTATTTGGTCAATAACAAAAATACAACTCAATACTTTGTAACATAACCTTTGTTGGCAATAACAGAGGTCAAACGTTTACTATAGGTCTTTACCAGGTTTGCACACACAGTAGCTGGTATTTTGGCCCATTCCTCCATGCAGATCTTCTCGAGAGCAGTGATGTTTTGGGGCTGTCGCCGAGCAACACGGACTTTCAACTCCCGCCACAGATTTTCTATGGGGTTGAGGTCTGGAGACTGGCTAGGCCACTCCAGGACTTTCAAATGCTTCTTACGGAGCCACTCCTTTGTTGCCCGGGCGGTGTGTTTTGGATCATTGTCATTTTGGAAGACCCAGCCTCATTTCATCTTCAAAGTTCTCACTGATGGAAGGAGGTTTTGGCTCAAAATCTCACGATACATGGCCCCATTCATTCTGTCCTTAACACGGATCAGTCGTCCTGTCCCCTTGGCAGAAAAACAGCCCCATAGCATGATGTTTCCACCCCCATGCTTCACAGTAGGTATGGTGTTCTTGGGATGCAACTCAGTATTCTTCGTCCTCCGAACACGACGAGTTGAGTTTATACCAAAAAGTTCGACTTTGGTTTCATCTGACCACATGACATTCTCCCAATCCTCTGCTGTATCATCCATGTGCTCTCTGGCAAACTTCAGACGGGCCTGGACATGCACTGGCTTCAGCAGCGGAACACGTCTGGCACTGCGGGATTTGATTCCCTGCCGTTGTAGTGTGTTACTGATGGTGACCTTTGTTACTTTGGTCCCAGCTCTCTGCAGGTCATTCACCAGGTCCCCCCGTGTGGTTCTGGGATCTTTGCTCACCGTTCTCATGATCATTTTGACCCCACGGGATGAGATCTTGCGTGGAGCCCCAGATCGAGGGAGATTATCAGTGGTCTTGTATGTCTTCCATTTTCTGATGATTGCTCCCACAGTTGATTTTTTCAAACCAAACTGCTTGATTATTGTAGATTCACTCTTCCCAGTCTGGTGCAGGTCTACAATACTTTTCCTGGTGTCCTTCGAAAGCTCTTTGGTCTTGGCCATGGCGGAGTTTGGAGTCTGACTGTTTGAGGCTGTGGACAGTTGTCTTTTATACAGATGATGAGTTCAAACAGGTGCCATTCATACAGGTAACGAGTGGGGGACAGAAAAGCTTCTTACAGAAGACGTTACAGGTCTGTGAGAGCCAGAGATTTTCCTTGTTTGAGGTGACCAAATACTTATTTTCCACCCTGATTTACGAATAAA